AACAATGACCTTGGGGGACTTTGGATGGTAGATGTGGCATGGCTTCTGGTTGGGTGGGGATGCCCAAGGCAGCGGCGACCCTTCACACCACATCCCTCCCAGTCATCTCAACGTGAGCAGGCCAGGGGAGGGCCTCAGCAAGGACACATGGGACAGGCCAGTAGTAAAGCCATACCTGGAACTAAAGTTCCCAGGTGCATGCGGGTAGGAGGACTCAGGTGCAGAGCACCAGATGCTGGTCAGCACGTGCCCCGTGGACAGGGGCTCCCACTTGTCTCCTGGACAGTTGTCCACTCACCAGAGGGCACGGGGATTCTCAGTGTATCATTCTTGCTTACAGCCCTCCCCTTGGGAGATGTACTTACAAGCATTCAGAGCATGATTTTTCCTTGTTTTGCATGCGGGGAAAGAACAAGTGAGGAGAGATATGGCTTTGTAAACAGTAGGGACAGAGGAGGGGGAAGTGGCGGCCCAAGATCACAATGTGAAGGGGGGGGTGTCAGGTAAGCCTGTTCCAGCTGGGCACTCCAGCCACCCCAGGCCCTCTGGGGCGCTCATATGGCTTCTAAGTATAACACATCCTCTCCCAATTTCTAAAACAGGATATGTTGCTGCAGCTCACACCATGGGCCTGCAACGTTCTCAGCCACAGGCAGCCAGGCCGGTCCTGGGCAGTGCATGGGAACCATCACAGTGACCACTGTGTCCTGAGGACTTACTGTGAGACACATGCGATACTAAGCCATTCACTGCATCACCGTGCCCCTATTTTTTTTTTTTAGATGAGAAAATACAGTTTAGTTAGAAAGTAAATGAGAGAGAGAGAGAAAGAGAAGATTCACTTCCCCCAGGTAGGGGAGGAGACCAAGAAAAACATGGCCTGGCCGTAGCTCAAAGAGCACATGGCCACACCATAGCTTAGCAAGGCAATGGCATGCCCCTATTTTTTATAGAGGACAAAATTGAGGCTCAGAGAGGCAAATTATTTTACCTGGAGTCACACAGCCTAGGGATGGCTGGAGCCAGAGTTCAAATTAAAATCTGACTCCAAAGTCCTTATTGTACCTGGGTTAAAAGGTACAGATAAACTGGGCACTGTGGCATGCACCTGTAATCCCAGCTTCTAGGAAAGTTGAGCAGGGAAGATCCCTTGAGCTCAGGAGTTTGAGACCAGCCTGGACAACATAGCAATACTTCATCTCAAAAAAAAGTGTAGACTACAGTCTTGTATTTTGAGTTGGGGTCTGGTGCAAGGTGAGTTGCTAGGAGGTGACAGGTGACAACGAGACTCCAAAATGCTGCATCCTACATCTGTACACCTGGCCCTCTTTGGAGGCAGATGGAGAATAAGAAACTGCTTGGGGCCAGGTGCAGTGGCTCACACCAGTAATCCCATCACTCTAGGAAGCCAAGGTGGGAGGATCACTCGAGTCCAGGAGTTCAAGACCAACCTGGGAAACATAGTGAGACCTCATCTCCACACACACAAAAATTAGCTGGGCATTGTGGCACACGCCCATAATCCCAGCTATTTGGGAGGCTGAGGTGGAAAGGATTGCCTGAGTCCAGAAGGTGAAGGCTACGGTGAGCCATGATCATGCCACTGCACTCCAGTTTGAACAAGAGAGTGAAACACCAACTCAAATAAAAGGAAAGAAAGAGAATAAAATAAACTGCTCGGTATCATCAGCTAGGCCAGTCCCCAAAGCTCGAACAGGGTAGAGATTCTGGCAGGTCAAGCTGGCACACATGGCTCAGGGAAAGCCAGTTCTGTACCTAAGACTTACTGCGCGGAGAGGGTCGAACACTCTCCAGACAGCCACACAGTACAGGAAACCAAAGATGAGCACACTCCAAGCACACTCCAAGCACACAGGGAAAAAGAGAATAGGATGGCAGACACCTGTCAGCTCTTTCCTGGCAAAAGTGGGCCCTGGTTCAGCTAAAACCTTGGCTGGGCAGATAAGCAGAAGCAGAAAGGGCCACACAGTCCTGCTTGCTAATTAGCAGCCCAGAGGGCATCCCCGAATCTGTCACCATCAGACAGTCAAACCCAAAGAGACAGAAAATGGGGTAGTGGCTGTCAGGGGCTATAGGGAGAGAGGAATGGGGAGAGGCTGCTAATGCAGACAGGGTGGTAAAAAAGTTCTGGAACTGGACAATGACAACAACTAACTGCATGTATATGCTAAAAACCACAGAATTGCATACTTAAAAAAAGATAACCCCAGAGCTGGCAGTGTCCTGGAGTCACTCGAAGGACAGTCCTTCCTCCATTCACTGAATTCTGCTCAGTGCTAGGTCTTGAGAACGGGGTGTGTGTGTGTGTGTGTGTGTGTGTGTGTGTGTGTGTGTGTGTGTGTGTGTGTATCACACCAAAGGACCACGGAGTAGCTCATATCCCACTGTGTGGAGTCATCAGAGAAGGCTTCCTGGAGGAGGGAGCCATGAGGGAAGAAGAACAAGGTACTGGGTAGCAGGAACTCACATCGTCTGTCCAACCTGTGGTTAAGCCCCTGGGGCCCTGGAGGGTGAGGAGGGCAGGATTTCACCTCCGGTAACAGAAAGAAACTGAGACAAGTCACTGACTTGACTGCCCAAAACTGGACCGTGTCAGACTTTGGCCATGACCTCTTGGCCCTAAGAAGGTCTCAGACCCTTCCCACTACCCCACAGCTGCCCAGAGAGACTCACGTGTATCTATTTTCCCTCTTCAGGGCTGGCAGGCAAAAGCCTCTTGAATCTCTGACTTCCCTTTAATATATTAACTTAATTAGCTCGTTCCAAGGTGACGGCTTTCTGTTGTATGCTTTTGAACTTAACTCAGCAAATTAACATTTGTGAATAGGATCTGCTTATGAATTTTAATGACTTTCATTCATTCATAGTCCAAACAAATTACATATCTGGTGCTTTATTTAATATGCTTATTGCCATTTTATTATAATCATTGGCAACGAAACAGCATAAAATATTAATTTAGAGAGGCAATCACACGGATTATCTCTCCAAGTGGCACGCGCAGAATGTTTTTTCAAAGGTTGCCCAGGGTTACTCATCATTCCTGAAAGAGCTAATGGACTGACTTTACTGTTACGACCGGCCCTGGCACAGGACAGACCACAGCAAGGTGACAGTCAAAGCCGACTGCTCTGCGTCAACGCGGTCTGAAAGGCACCTGCTCGGTGCACAGCGCCAGAGGTGCCCCTGGGTCCTGCGTGGAGCCAAGAGGTCTACACAAATGACAATTTCCCACACTTCGTTCAAGCAGATGGCTTTGGGAGTCTGGGAGTCATGCTCATTTTGGGCTGTTTCTCATTTTAACTTTTGTTAGATGACAAGAAGACAGAAGTGGCTCTGAACAATAAAACAGGTGATCAGAAAGGCAGGGCCAGAATCTCTCAGCTAAAGAACCATGCCGGGGACCCTTGGTGTCAGGCCATGCCAGGAACCATGTCAGCTCAACAGAACCACCGAGATGTACCACAGAGGCCTCAGAGCCCAGGGAATGCAGTCCCTCAATGGCTTGGAAATCCTGGGGCCTGCTGGCGGGGCCTCCCTGGGCCTAGTGCCTGAGGGCCAAGTTCTCACCGGTGCCTCCCCTGGGGGACCATGGTCACTACAGGCACCTGACCGGCCAGGCCTTCCTGGGGGGCTTTAGGGAGTGATGGGAACCTATAAGTGGGTCACACCAGCACATTCTTACAATGTCTTAAAAAGAAAAAGGAAGAGCTATTCAGGAGTAAAACCTGTGTTCCAGGTCGGGCTTGGTGGCTCAGCCTGTAATCCCAGCACTTTGGGAGACTGAGGCAAGTGGATTGCCTGAGCCCACGGGTTCGAGACCCCCCGGGCAACTTGGCGAGACCTTGTCTCCACAATAAATAAAAAAAAAATTACCCGGGTGTGGTAGCACACGCCTGTAGTTCCAGCTACTTAGAAGGTGGAGGCAGAAGGATCACCAGAGCCCAGCAGGTCGACGCTGGGGTGGCCGTGAGTGTGGCACAGCTCTCCAGCCTGGGTGACAGAGTGAGGCGCCAACTCAAAAAAAAAAAAAAAACAAAAAACCCAAAACATGCGTTCCAGATACATTTGGGGGAACATTATCTTTCAAATGCACTGTATTTTCCTGTTCATTTACTGGTGAAGTGCTTACAAAATGCCTCTCCAAGTGAATACCTCCTGTGTGTGGGCCTGGCTGGGGGAGGCGGG